CCCAAAACCCCAAAACCCCAAAACCCCAAAACCCCTTTGTTCGGGAAATTTTGAAATTATATATTTAAAAATTTGGAAAGCCATGGATATAGATGGCCGAAACACTAATAACATGCCTATACGGGTAGTCACCTTAATCCTTGTAGTGGTGCACATGGTCCTTTTTATTACAGTAACATCTAATGGAGTCCCAGAAGAAGAGAGAATGATATATCAGGTCTTATACTGGATTTCTGCTATATTATTTGTAATATCCTTTATCAGAGCCTCAATTGCTCCACTAAGGAAAATTCCAGAAGTCAACTCTGCTTCTCAAGAAGAATTCTGACAAGAGTGAGGTACATGGAAACCAAGGCGGGCACGACATTGAGACATATGAGAAACATGAGTTTTAAAAATGGACCATCATTGCCCTTTTCTCGGTACATGTGTGGGCTATCATAATTTAAAATTTTTCATATTATTCTGATTCTATGGACTCATTGTAAACTACATCTACATCGATACAGCTATTCGGTACTTTTTCTCCAATGAACCAAAGCTATACTTTCCAGTGCGAATGTTTTACTGGTTGTTTACTGCAATGTTTGCAATCTGTCAGCTAAATTTCATAGCTTTCAATTTCAACTCAATTCTGATCCTCTACAATAACACAACAGCAGCTGATACTTACGAAGAGATTGAGCTAAACTATCCATGATTAAAACGAGGGCTTGAGCACTCACAGTACATCGAAGACTCTCGAAATATCTACGACAGGTTGTGGCTGAACAACATGTGCGACATCCTTGGTGAGAGCATGTGGCAGTGGCCACTGCCCATCTTCCACGAAATGATTGGCAAAGGTATGTACTACCCTTCCATCCCCGATTTTGATATGAAGGACCTCGACCCTAGCGATAATAAACCTACCCAAACTAATGAAACCATGGAGATGAAGGAAGACATAGCGTCTTGAAACCTCTATGCGAGCAAGCTGAAGACTAAGTTTAGAGGAAAAATCATGGAGTTCAATGGAGAGCATTTTGAAATCCCTAGCGCCAAAGACGAGGAGTAATGGTTTGTTTAGAGTTAAGTTTGTGTATAATTCAATACTGTATCTATAAAAAGGGGTTTTGGGGTTTTGGGGTTTTGGGGTTTTGGGG